AGGGATTTAAACCAAATGTGTTCACATGCTTAGGGGGAAAAAACTCAAATTTGTTTTATTTGTATAAAAAGGTGCATGTGAGGCCTAATACGGGAAATAGAGGAAAACTGGGACATCACATGGAAATTCATTTTCTTTTTGTCTTTCCCACCAAAACAGATGTATATGTAGTTCTTCTTGCAACTTTGTTTCTTGTACTCATTTGATAAACCTGAATGGTACTCAGCAGGTTTTAAATTGAAAAATAAAATTCCAGGTGAGCTATTAAGGCCCCTGGGCCTCTTGTTTAAATGCCCCTACAGATATTGAAACTCCATATCTTATAGATGATCAACCACTTTTAGAATTTTAATGCTGGACATCCGAGGTTTAAGTATATCTCATGCTTCACACAAGAAAAAGACCAAAAAACAAGAAAGAAGAAGAAATTTTAACAGAAATAAACATTATTGAAAAAAGCACTCCCTTAAATCTCAACTCACTAAACAACAAGCAGATAGAATTAGAAAACATAAGAAAAGATAAGGTGATTTTGTTTGTTTGATTTTGTTTAACGTCCTATTAACAGCTAAGGTCATTTAAGGACGGCCCCCCCTGTGTGCAAGATGCATGCATGTAGTGTATGCGTGTGTTTTTGGGAGGCTGCGATATGTTTGTGTCAATTTCATCGTGTCTCCTTGTGATAGCGCAGAACTGATGCCGACTAGTGTTACCTCACTGAAACATACTGCCGAATAAACCCAGCAAGTCGTCCGTCCCATCCGGTCACATCCTGGGATAGAGCCCGACAAAGTTTGAGAATGAAAATGACCTTGACCTTCTTTAAAAGTCACAGGGGTCAAATGTGTCTCACACTTCAAATGACTTTTTCTGAAGAACTGAAACGTATAGAATCTTTATATTTGGCAGTTATCTCCCGTTTGTCATCGAGTTATAGCTATGCTGCAGTCTTTCGAGCCCTCTTCTTCTAATGTCCATTGACTGACGGGTACCATTTTCATTCCGGTTTGGTCAAAATTAACAACAAGTTCCTTTGGGATGTGATACGCAATAACACACTTTGACATTTGAGCTTATGCCATACCGCAGCTTCCGTCGTCCGTCTGTCGTCCGTCCGTCAACTTTTCCTTTAAAACAGTACTTGTCATGAACGGCCAAATATAGGGGAAATATAGCAAATTCTTTAAAATCCTTCTTCTTCTATAGGAATGAAAGGATAAAATTTTATGGTATTCGGAACAAAACACTAAACTGGATTTCGACTTTCCTATCTCATAGAACACCAAGTCATACTAGATGGTGAATCCTCCAATACAGCCCCTGTCACATCTGGCGTACCCCAGGGTACAGTCCTAGGACCAATTATTTTCCTTATTTATATAAATGACTTCCCAGAATACCTCAACCATAGCACACTTAGACTTTTTGCGGACGATAGTATTATTTATAAAGAAATAAGATCTGACCATGACTGCATGCTTTTACAACAAGATCTTGACGCTGCAGCCAAAGGGGAAAGAGACTGGCTAATGGCATTCCATCCTGACAAGAGCACAGTTGTGACTATATCATCCAAAAAACATCCTTTTTCTCATAAATACGTTCTCAACGGGCATACCCTAGAAACTGTCACTCCAGCTCAATACCTGGGAGTCACACTTCAATCTGATTTAAAATGGTCCAAACATATGGAAAATACAGTCGCTGCAGCAAATAGATATTTAGGCTTTTTGAGAAGAAATTTCAAAACAGGAAATCATGACATTAAAAGTAAAGCCTATCTGCCACTAGTCCGCCCTAAATTAGAATACGGCTGTACCCTGTGGGACCCACACACATCAGACTCAATATCCAAACTTGAAATGGTACAGAGACGCGCTGCCAGGTATACCTGCAATAGGTATCACAATACCATCAGCGTTTCTGACATGTTAAGCACACTACAGTGGCCAAACACTCGCAGAACGACGTCTTATTAAGGCCGGCCTCATTCTTATGTATAAGACAGTACATCCGTTGATGTATTCCGAGTACAGCTTACAGCTAACTCCAGCTGTACTCGTTACATTTCTCTAAGCACCACTCCATATGTATATAGTTTTAACCTCACTGTTTTTAAATCCACGCATTGCACAGCACACACAGCAGTCCGTAATCTTCAAATGATTGAAGGAGGATTAGATAACGAAAGAAGAAGAGGTAAACCTTTAAAATCTTTCTTCTTCCATAGGGATGAAGGGGCTTCTTCCCAATTTGGTCTGGAGGATCTTGGGCAAAAGGGACTCAATTTTGTATAAACAGTGAGTGTGGCCCCTCTTGGGGCAGAAGGGCGGGACCCAATAGGGGAACATAGCTAATTCTTCAAATACCTTCTTCTTCTGTACAAATGACAGGATTTTATCCTTATTTAGTCTGGAGCATCCTTGGTACTTACAGCACCTACCATGGAGTGCTATATCTTCACTTCATACCAATTATTTTAACATATTCAGGTGAGCGATACAGGCCCTCTGTGCCTCTTGTTTTTATTGTCGTCCGGACGTTTACGTGCTGTTTTAATACCCTTACGTTTAACGAGATTCATTCTTCTCATCAATGATCTCACGTACCCATTTGTAATGTCAAGACTGCCTCCATTTTCTGGCAGAGAAGCCCTGTTGTGGGCCTCAACAATACCACGTGCCGCAGCTGTCACTATAGTGGTATTGACCACGCCTCCAGCTTGCCGTAACTTCCGTATGAACGATTTGACTGAGTTGTCGAGATGTTCCCCCAACCTCAGGGGTCTCCCCCGGGCTTTTGTCGGCATCTCATTCTCGAATGATTTTAGAATTCTGTTCTCGAGGGTTCATCACGCATACTTCTTACAGTTGTTTCGGAGACACAATTACCCATCTGGGCTGTCATTTTCCGTGACGCTTTAGCCACACCAATATCAACGGCGAGTTCAGCAATTTTTGCCCGTTCTTCTGGTGAATAAGTCACATAATCTCCACGTTTTCGTTTTTGGATCCTGGAGATTCTGCAGACGACACATGCGAACTGCATGTAGTGTTTTCAATTGCATCATAAGCTGCTGTTATTTGAATGGCTTCATCCCCGGAACTAGCCCTTTTGGCGAAGGAAGTCCCGGAATAGACGGGTCCCGTAATTTGGGTGATTGTAACCGTTTAAGAAGGGACATGTTACTTGTCTGCTTTCGTAAGAACTACGCTCTTTGTATATAAGGTATAGCGCATGACGGATTTGACCGATACCCGTCGAGTGAGCGAATCTCGCCCGACTTTACCTGTAATATACTTACCTGCACTGTGTCGTCACGCCTGTCAATTTATACTTATTACTTAGCAGAAAAAATACAAGGTTTTAATATATTAATTCCACGAAATATAATCCCTACGAATTGTCCCGATACAAAAACAACGAAATTTAACCTCAACGAAAACATATGCTTTTACAGTATATTCAAGGTCATAGGGGTCAAATATGTTTAAAACCTTTGAACAACTTCTTCCTTATAACCAAAAGGACCAGGGTGATGATATTTGGCCAGTAACATGCTGGGATAAAGGGTTACCAAGTTTGCCTTCACCCATTTGCAAGCTGACAGGGGCCAAAATATGCTGAAATATTTAAAAAAAAACACCTTCTGAATAATCTAAAGATCCAGGGTAATGATTTTTTGCCAGAAGTATGCTTGTATGAAAGGCTGTAAAATCTGTTCAACTTAATGTCCTTGTTTGACTTTCAATGTCACATGTGTCGCATGTTTAAATCGTTTTAGGTCACCTGAGCTTGCTCAAGTTACCTATTCCGATCACTTTCCGTCCGTTGTCGTGCGTCGTCCGTCAACTTTTTACAATTTCAACTTCTTCTCAAGAACCAGTGGATGGAATTTTTTCAAACTTGGTCAGAATCATCCTTGGTAGATGATGAGGCTACAAAATTGTAAAATTGGGATTTCTACCCCAACCCCTGGGGGCCCGGCCCCAAAGGGAAAATTAACTAATATTTCAAAAATCTTCTTCTCCAGACTCAGAGGTACTACAGTCATTTTCTCTGCATGGACGGAAAGATCATCAGGGGCATTATTTAAATTGTAAATTTCAGGACCCCCGAGCTATCCGTTTACTATAGTTCATATAGGGAGACAACACTTTTGGGTATACAGTCGAACCTCATTAACTCAAAGTCGACGGGATCATTGGGAAACTTCGAGTTAAGCGAGTTCATATGTTTGGCATTAAGCTTGGTTAAGTGTTTGGTAATAATGAGGCTATAAATACGTTGACTGTCGGAGAAATCAACGACTTATATAAACAGTCGATAAATGACAAAAAGATAACGATATAAAATAAAAATAAATACAATTTATTCATAATCGTATTAATTAATTGATTAATGTTACGTTACAATAAACACACATAAAAACAGGAAGAACGTCTAAGGTAAAACTTACATCTCTGTCTCCGACCTCGTGCTATGCTGATGGAAATGTCAATGCGGAAATGAAAGTGCGCAAGTCTTTACACAAATCACTGTTTTGGAGCGTACACGTAAATGATGTTTTTAATGAGTACACGCGAAAACACTCCACTGAGAACACAGTCTATTAATTTATAACACAGTCTAACCATTGATAACACAGTCTATCTACTGAGAACACATTCTATGTCACTTATCACCATCTTGCACGGAAACAAAGTCCTGGAAATAATCCTCCATCGTTAACTGTTGTAAGTTTCTGGTCCTGTGGGCAAGATCCTCGCGGATGATTTCATCTGATAGTCGCAGTATTGAGTGGATCGGGGCAGCTTTGTTTTGACGGGTCTCCAGGTAAGAAGGATTTACTGCCATATCTGTAGTTGGTTGTGGTACATGCTCACAGTCATAACTGGACTCAGTGTCGTTGTCATCGATGTAAATGCCCTAACTCTCGGGAACCTCATCTACGATGTCGTCGTCAGTCATGGTGACGCTGGTCGGTAGATCATCGTCAACTAATGAGTAGTGGCTAAACGGTATTGGTAGGTGCAGCAGCTGTGCAAAAGGGATGCCATCCTCATCATCGTCGCTGTGGGGGCCGTTGTAAAACCAGCGTGGTGGAAACAGTTGTGAATGGTGGTCTCTGGAACACATTGCCAGTCTATTACTAACAACTTCATAGTATCGAGTACGGAGATCGCAGCTTCATGCTGACGGTCTATGGCTTTGACGTGGCGTAGGATGATACGTTTGCGGTAGTGGACCTTCAAATTCTGGATCATCCCTTGGTCCATTGGCTGGGTCTTACTGGTTGTGTTTGGTGGAAGGAAGATGAGTTTGATGGCCCGTAGATCGTTGATGTTGGGATGAGCTGGACAGTTGTCGACGATCATAGCGATTTGGCTGCGTTGTTTGTAGAATGTTTTGTCAACTTTCTGGACCCAGTCGGTGAAAATTTCAGTCATCCACGCTTTCTTGTTGGCAGTGTAGTCTGTTGGTAGAGAATGTACGTTCTTAAAACAACGTGGCTTGGCAGATTTCCCGATGATGAAGAGTGGGATTTTCTCTGTACCAGTCATATTAGCGCATACTAACGCGGTAAGTCTATCCTTGCTCCGCTTCCCTCCGTGACAGTCGGTGCCTTTAAAATCAAGGGTTTTGTCTGGCAGTAATCGGTAGAAAATCCCGGTTTCATCTGCGTTGAATATATCCTGGGACTGAAATAGGCTGTGGAGCTTATTTATGCATAACCGCACACTGTGACCCATTTTCCGGTTAGAATGTGTCGGCAGCTTGGTTACGGGCTCGCAGTGAGTACTGATTGTTGTTATTCAACATTTATGAAGTGTGTTTCTTTATTTGTACAACGTGTTTTTACAGTCAAACACATTTTAATGCCATTAGCTTAATCGAAGTAAGTATGACCGGGACCGATGGTAAGCTGCTCAATGAGAATCAAAGTCAACATTACTCGCGATGATTTGTCCAGGTTCCATATTCTTAGAGGAGTAAGGAACGGTACGACTACGATCATCGCGCGTTTCGTCCGATATACTGAACGGCATAAGGTCTTTCGGAACAAAAAAACTTTGTAAACATCTCAGAGACAAAATCTTCATAACGGAAAGCTTAACCAAATCTAGATCAGCCCTTGTCGGCCGGCTCAACAAACTGCGATAGGACATCTTAATTAATTCCCTATGGACGATGGATGGACGATTTTACAAAACTGGTGCAACCACAGATAAAACTCTTATCAAGTCAGAGGCATGTGTAAGAGCATTCGAGGCTAAGTATCGCCCACATTCTGTTGAAAACACATCATCCCCCATGGTATCGACCTCCTCAGCTCCCTAGGATTCCTATTACCCGTAGTCGGCTCCAATGATGGTTACTTGAAGGACCTGAACTGTGTAAAAATACCAAGACTTTTTGTAGATTATCAACCTTTTTTATATGTCAGCCACATGTAAAAAATAGTCTGTCATTTTGTTGTGAATACACACCAGCACTTTAAGAATCGTTCATATCAAGCTGCACTTGTGTTAAAAACACTGAATCAGTACAAAGCATGCATAATACATCATTTTAAAAGGGGGCGGACAATTGTTTGATATGATGCGCTAATGATACGGTCTCCATCACGTGTCTTCAATCTATGTTATAAATGACGGTCACCCTAATGAGTGTCCTCCGGGTAATGAGTGTCCTCGGAGGTTTTTGCGCGCCCGCGAGTTCGTTATAAGATTTATTTCACTTATTTCTTCTGATTCTTAACTATTGTTCACTTACCTAGATGTGTGCAAAGTTTAAGTTCGATCGTAACAGTATAAAGTACCGAAATACGTCGGTAAATACTAATTTCACGAGGTTGGATTGAGTGTCCACGGAGGAATGAGTGTCCAGGTAAGTGTTCGCGAGCCCGAGAATTCGTTAATCCATTTATTTTACTTCTGTCTTCGGATTCATAAATATTTCTAACTTACCTAACTGTGTGCAAAATATCAGGTTGACCATAACAGTATAAAGTACCAAAATACGTCGATAAATACTATTTTCACGAGTTGTGGATTGAGTGTCCACGGAGGAATGAGTGTCCAGGGAGGTGTTCGCGCGCCCGGGAATTCGTTAATCGATATTTTTTACATCTGTCTTCGGATTCATAAATATGTTCAACTTACCTAACTTTGTGCAAAATGTCAGGTCGATCATAACAGTAGAATGTATCGAAATTTATCGTTAATTATATGCCTACGATAACAGCTAAGAGTTGTACATGTAGTTATATACGAGTTTCTTCCCTTCCAAAGCATTCTCTGCCTATTTTGATAGCCGTTACTAAAGGTATTTAATTTTGTAAAACTTGTTAATTTCGTGATATATTTATATTCATAGTACTTACAACAATGTGTAATAAAATGTCTGTTGCTGTATAATACACATACGACCATCAACGTATATTTTTTGGTTTCAACAAATGTTATTGTGTTAACAAAAGGATTAGACAAAAGGCAGTGCCTATACAAGTCTTCTCCTGAACCGGTACAACATATATACATTTACACTGAATAATAAGGTATATTTAAAAAAATATCGATAATTAACTACTTATTGAGATTCTTGACATATTTCACAGAAATTAAGCCTGAAATAAGAACAATTCGGACAGAAACAGAAACATCTTGAATAAGATTGTCGATAAATCTATAGAAGTTAAGTCACTTGCTTTGTGCCGGATTTGACAAAGAATCATATTAAGATTACTAGGATTGCACTGTTTAATTATCAAAGGTTAAAGATCTTATACATTAGAATTTATTTGTATTTACGACGTCTTTAATTTAAATCTTCCATATTTACCTCAAGATAAAGTATATAGATGAGATGTCCCACTTTTTGACCCCGATATAATTCCCATAGCTATCCAATGGTACAGTAATTACAGATTATTTCATCAGGTAACAATTTTTGAATAAAGAGAAGAGGGGCGTGCTTTCTATTCCTTCTATACACTGTTAAACGTATATACGTATTCAGATTGTAGGGAGTACATATGTCAATAAATATTAACAATATAATTGTAAATCTTTTATTACGATTAGTCACGTCATTGCAAGGGACTTTTCAAAGACTATTTTTAATTTGTATGGTTGTTTGATATTGTTGGGATGGGGAAGCGTGTTTTCGAGACATTCAATGACACTCTTTTGGAAAATTGTTTGGCCCTAAAAAGGGCCGTTTTAATCTGAGAAGATGCCTAATTCATCTGGCTGCAGAACAGGGCTAGCTTTTAGTTGTCTGGCGTACCGGGTCTCCAAAGTCTGTGTAATGTGGACGCCGTTCTTGAAGGCAGTAGCTGTGAGTTGTTGGAAACCGCGCAGTTTCCAAAATGTGACGTTACTTTCTGTTTGGAATAGTTGGCATAGACGCTTGTTTATTCTGGTTCTTTGAATTTCATATTTCTCTGGTGACATGTGCCGCGGTCTGTATCGCTGGAAAAGGCTACCAACAACCACCTGGCATCCTTTCTCTTCAAACATAGTGACAACGTCACATATGTCCTCGACAATGTCATCTGGGTCTGATGTGGGGCCGATGTCGTTTCCTCCAATCTGTAGGAAAACCCGGTCGACATCAAGATCACGTATCTTCTTCGATAGTAGAAGTGTCCTTGTTGTTGCCCCACGGAATCCTAGCAGCTGGATATCGTCTGATTGCAGGAGAGGGTGTCCAGCCATCCTGGCAATGAAACTGTGTCCAACGATTGCGAAACGCATGATGATGATTACAGGTTTACTTGTTGATTTACTTGAAAGAGAGAATTGTGTCGTTCATCTTGTAGGGATTTGTATATAAACCCTTTTTGGCTTCCATGTATAATTGGAGCTGCTCATGTCATTAATTAGTCCTTATTATCTTGCCGAATCGGAATTATAATCCCCAAATTGGCTTCTATATGTAATAAGAGCTATTCATAAAGAGCATCTCCAATTATAGTTTTTAAAAGTATTGTCAAATTTACTATTTACTACATCAAAGTGTAAGTAACTGTATTTGGGCAGGTTAATTAATCAAGGCGTGAAACTCTTACCACAACATAATTACTGTTTGTATTGTCCATTCAGACACGGGCACGAGACATTTATTATCTAATTATAATTATCTATCACCTTGCCCTAGTAAACAAACGGCGTGTCCCGTGTATACCCCCGCAGGGTAGGTTCACCGCCCAGGTGTTAGATACGTCTACAAATTTATTGCCAGGTGTTAATATTTTATTGTTTATTAGCTTTAAGCCTTGCGGCTCATAGGCACATTATAACAACATTTATACAATGATATCAATGATATAGAATAATCCTATAGAATAATATGGATATGAATATTCTAGTCAATTACCCTTATAAAATGGAGCATAGGCATTATGTGTATGGCACAATGCGATTACATTATGCTATTTGAAAATATCTTTAAAGTTGAAAATGGGTAGTAAATATGATATATCATTATAATTAGCAGGCGTGCACTAAAAAAACATATTTTAAGATACGGTTAATAATCATTTTGGTAACTGGACCGTGTTGTTAGGATTGATTATAAATAGACAATATATATATAGTAAAACACGTAAAAACGAGTGGGAGATAGTCAGTATTATGTACAAACTTCAAATAAGTTTATAATTGTACATTATACTAAGTAATACCGCAATAAAAGTCATCAACGAGTTTTACATTCGAGCCTTTCATACAAAAAGTAATATCCTTAGCGGACAAAGACCAATGTCCAACTTGTTACAAGTATAATTTACACCAATAATTAGGAATAATTCCCTTATAGATTTTGTAATTTTACTTACACATAATTGTTGATTATATTGATAAAAAATGACATCTTTAAATACTTCACATAAGTCACATGGACGAAGAAATACAGTACTGTATCAAATTACGGGTGCGTGTATTTATATATATACCGTTTAGTGATGCGTATTTCCGAGCGGATAGGTCGGTAACTTTTTGTTGCTTAGAGTATTATACATTATTTATACAAACCAGTAGTTCAGCGTTATTCAGAGCAGTAACACCTTTTTAAGGGGTTGGGATGCGTAATTTCGAGCGGAGACAGGACATGGGTGGTTTTTACAATACTGGACAGGGAATGCGTAATTCGGAGCGGACAGGCCGGGACAGGGAGAAGTGCGTAATTTCGCGCATCAATAGACCCTTTTAGAGACGTTGGTGGCCCTAAAATGGGCCGTTTTGTTGGTAAGTTCATAAGAACTGCACCCGGTGAAAAAAGCTTGTCTTCACCATTCCTTTGGCGTTTCCAGGGGCTGCCAAGGTTCCATTCTGAAGGCGGTATAGTTTCCCTCCTTTTGCAAGATATCGCTTCACATCAAGATGTATTAGAACGGTTGAATGCCGTTTCACCGTAGCCTTGCAGTCTGCGAACTGGATCATTTGTCGCTTCATCCTGCTGAGGCCAGACATCTTGATGTTCTCGTAAGCTGATCTAGTAGTGCCGTGCACACAGTAGCGGACGTCCCTGTAGTCGGTGATTAGATACTGGCTGATGTTCCCTACGTCAACGTCGTCTGTGGAGTGGCCACTGCATGCCCTGATCAGTTGTTGGCAAGGTGATAGGTTCAGTCTGTCTCTGGCAACTCTCTCCACTATTTCCAGGACAGCAGTTCTCGAAACTTGAAATAACTGGCATATGACCAGTAGCTGGACATATCCGGCGGAGTCTCTCGGGGCAGCTGTGTTCTGACGAAGGTAACGGACGATGCTTCGGGATGTCTTCTCAAGAGTCATGATGCAAGAGTATCTACACAACTGTCATTACTTATTATATACTTACTACAAGTCGACGAGTGTCCCGCCCGGCTCGACGCGTGCCCCGCCCCGCAATTAAGCATTAATCCGATAATTACCTGTGGTGCTTGCGATATGGGGAAGGGGTGACACTTATTAGATAATTACCGACAAATACCTGGTTATGTCACTGATATTGGACAGGTGCGCGACTGTTGTGATAATTGCCTTTAATTATCTAGTGCAATCGAGCGGGGACAAATGTCACGCCGGCACGCGTTAGTTCACTCAGTACGAATTCAATTTATAACCAAATGCACATTGCATAAAAGCATATAGAAATATACATATTGATCAATACTGCACAAATCGTTTAAATCTATATAAATATATATATAATGAAATTTGTGAAAATGAAATGCGATGAAACACTTTTGTTGAATAAAAAACATAGATCACAATCTAATTATACAGTAACAAGACGCTTATAGCAAGACTTCGATATAGCTTATATATTAATAATTTACGGCTGTTTCCGAGGCACTGCATTTTATGCGCATGCAATCTGTATTACGCAAGAATACATGTACATTTTCTAAATAACGTTTTTTTAAAATACCATTGTAGACTAAAACGGCCAACAATGTGGTGATGTCTCGACTAAGTGACTAAAACACAATTCTGGATTTTCTTTATTTTTATTTCAGCTGAATATAATATCTGTCGGACAAAAACATATAAATCGCATTTTGGGCGTGTTTATTTGATATGTCTGATTTAACAGTTATATTTATTTCTTCAAATGATTTTCAATAATCAACAATGAAAAATGATTTCATATGTGCTGACGAGTTTATGGTTTGCTCGTGATTGACATGCTAACGGAATGTTTCAAGTTCTTAGCTTGTGTTATTATTATGAGCGCTTTGAAAAAAAAGCTATGTAGTGAAAGACGAAAGTAATACAGAATATGAAATCTAAGTGAGTAGCAATATCAAAGGTACCGGCGTGTTATGGTTTGCTCGTGATTGACATGCTAACGAGATGTTTTAAGTTCTTAGCTTGTGTTATTATTATGAGCGCTTTGAAAAAAAGCTATGTAGTGAAAGACGAAAGTAATACAGAATATGAAATCTAAGTGAGTAGCAATATCAAAGGTACCGGCGTGTTATGGTTTGCTCGTGATTGACACGTTAAACCAATATCTGGAGCTGTAGACGTGTGTTATTGTTTTGATAGCAATAATATCGTGTTTACGCATTGAAAGCCGCGTGGAGAAAATACTCAATAAATTAGGACAATTACCGATAATTACATATTGAGAGTGGATGGTAAAAGCTCGTTACTGTGAGAAGTGGTATAAATATAGATACGAAATCAACCATCATTACTCCCACAAAGGCTTTTGAAGGTCAGGTAAGTGAATTATTGTATTAGTACGTAAGGGTATAGATTATCGTATTTGATGCTAACACAGCTTTCAATTATTGTATAGGACAGTTTATCAATCGTGGTACGTTCTAAGTTAGTATTTAATGATAGTTTACATATAGTCAAAGTACATTTTTCAATTATTGTATAGGACAGTTTATCAATCGTGGTACGTTCTAAGTTAATATTTAATAATAGTCTACATATAGTCAAAGTACATTTTTCAATTATTGTATAAGACAGTTTATCAATCGTGGTACGTTCTAAGTTAGTATTTAATGATAGTTTACATAAAGTCAAAGTACATTTTTCAATTATTGCATAGGACAGTTTATCAATCGTGGTACGTTCTAAGTTAGTATTTAATAATAGTATACATATAGTCAAAGTACATTTTTCAATTATTGTATAAGACAGTTTATCAATCGTGGTACGTTCTAAGTTAGTATTTAATAATAGTATACATATAGTCAAAGTACATTTTTCAATTATTGTATAAGACAGTTTATCAATCGTGGTACGTTCTAAGTTAGTATTTAATAATAGTATACATATAGTCAAAGTACATTTTTCAATTATTGTATAAGACAGTTTATCAATCGTGGTACGTTCTAAGTTAGTATTTAATAATAGTATACATATAGTCAAAGTACATTTTTCAATTATTGTATAAGACAGTTTATCAATCGTGGTACGTTCTAAGTTAGTATTTAATAATAGTATACATATAGTCAAAGTACATTTTTCAATTATTGTATAAGACAGTTTATCAATCGTGGTACGTTCTAAGTTAGTATTTAATAATAGTATACATATAGTCAAAGTACATTTTTCAATTATTGTATAAGACAGTTTATCAATCGTGGTACGTTCTAAGTTAGTATTTAATAATAGTATACATATAGTCAAAGTACATTTTTCAATTATTGTATAAGACAGTTTATCAATCGTGGTACGTTCTAAGTTAGTATTTAATAATAGTATACATATAGTCAAAGTACATTTTTCAATTATTGTATAAGACAGTTTATCAATCGTGGTACGTTCTAAGTTAGTATTTAATAATAGTATACATATAGTCAAAGTACATTTTTCAATTATTGTATAAGACAGTTTATCAATCGTGGTACGTTCTAAGTTAGTATTTAATAATAGTATACATATAGTCAAAGTACATTTTTCAATTATTGTATAGGACAGTTTATCAATCGTGGTACGTTCTAAGTTAGTATTTAATAATAGTATACATATAGTCAAAGTACATTTTTCAATTATTGTATAAGACAGTTTATCAATCGTGGTACGTTCTAAGTTAGTATTTAATAATATTATACATATAGTCAAAGTACATTTTTCAATTATTGTATAAGACAGTTTATCAATCGTGTTGCGCTCTTGGTAAGTATTCAATTATAGTTTCGATTGTACAGAAAATAACCTATTATTGTATTTCAGGATTTTAGTGCTTTTATGAGTATAAAAATCAGAATATACTTATTAATAGTCGCTATGTTGTGAACAGATTATTGAAATATATTATTCTTTATGTGATCATAATAGCCGCTGCGTTTTAGTGCTTAACTATAAATTGTGTGTGTGTGTATATATATGTATTAACATTTAACTCATTCATATATTTGATATCGTTTACTTTTGTTAGCTAGTGATATATTGGATATACGGTTACTTTGTTAGCTCGTGATATATTGGATATACGGTTACTTTGGTAGCTAGTGATATATTGGATATAAGGTTTCTGTGTTAGCTAGATATATATTGGATATACTGTTACTTTGTTAGCTAGTGATATATTGGATATAAGGTTACGTGTAAGCTAGTGATATATTGGATATACGGTTTCTGTGTTAGCTAGTGATATATTGGATATACTGTTACTTTGTTAGCTAGTGATATATTGGATATACGGTTTCTGTATTAGCTAGTGATATATTGGATATACGGTTACTTTGGTAGTTAGTGATATTTATTACATACTTACTGATAAATACGGGTTTTTTGTATATGCGATACAACACAATTGCTCTAACACATATCAGCCCTCGCCGTACCCCCCCCCAAACCCCGTATCGGCCCCCGCCGTATCACACCCCAAAACCCGTATCAGCCCGCAAAACCTGTGGTGGCCTATTTCTCCTTTGGATGTTGTATTTAGTATTTTGTACTGCTTTCAATGACAGTGGGTTTTCTGGGTCAACTTTATTCACATTTTGGAGGATTTGAATAGTTTTTTTTTACCATGACCCGTACCCTCTTCAATAACATGTTTTTGTTGAACTGTGGTCCGAATGTATGGCTGCGTACTGTGTTTCGCATTGCCATGCATACTAATACCTGGATATGCACCAATATACTCCACTACCTCTTTGAAAGAGAAGTTTGTATGATTGGGTATGTTTTCAAACCAACTAAACCTTCTTTGATACTGGTTGTCCTTCTGCAGCTTAGAGTAATATCTCTTCAGCACGAAAATAAGATCCTTTTCTGGCTGTGGTTGCATTGGCAGCCGCTGGGATTTAACCTTTTTGCAATATTTGCCATCTTTCTTATTAATTGCCATGAGTTGGTCAGATTGCCAGACAAACAAACTCAGCTGTTTTGAGCGAGTTTTTGCCTCTGTGCCATACTCCACAGTCATCTACAAAGGTTCGTTTGGTAGTTAAGGACTGTGACTTTTGAATAACAAAAAAGAACATTTTCCTTAACGCCCACAGGAATTGATTCAGTTGTGTCTGCATTAGCATGCAGAACAAGATCTAAAACCCTTTCCGTGCTCAAAAACTTTCCTGGAACTCTGTTCTCAGTGGGGTTTTTGAAAGGCATGCTGACACCTTCATCAATACTTTCATTGAGAGGTGACATAGCCTTGGTTGGTGTTATGTCAGCAATCGATGACATACCCTTGTTGGGTGTAGCACAAATTGGTGACATGTCGGAGACTTGTGACACACCCTTGTCAGGTGTGACAGAAATCGGTGTCGAATTTTTGGTTGGTGTGTCAGCAATCGGTGACATACCCTTGTCGGGTGTAGCACAAATTGGTGACATACTGTAGTTTGATATTTTATCTGGGAGGGGAGAAGTTTGTTCCACCTTCACACATGATGATGGTGATGGCAAAGGTGGGAAGTCTGACATGTCGTTTATGTCTACAACCGATATGACTTCGCTGTTCATTAGTGGAACAAAATGATTAGGTGTCCAGAAACCACGTGTATGTACACTGACGCTGGACCACATAATACATATTGCGTTGCCCGCGATTGATCCCCGTGGCCTGAAAACGGTGTTTAGTATCCCAACACTTGGGTCTAAGACACCATTAACAGCAGGGAATATCGACTTGATGAGTCTACCTAATGCTGATGCAGCAGCATGGACTGTCCAAGCCGAGCAGAAAGATTTGTTTCTGGCACTGTCCCGCACTGCTTCATCAATGGACGGACTCACCATATTTAACCTATCATGGATATGTACGTTCTCGTAAAAAGATTTGTTTTGAGCAATCTCTCGTACCCTAATTTCTGTGGACAATCGCTCGTTCCCCTGAA